GAAACACCAGGTATGTTTTTGATGAGGGTAGATAGACACATGCACATTCAATAAATGTTCTGACTGCATGCTGGGTCCAAAGTCAAAATTGTGCAAAAGAATAAACATTGGTGGTGTCACTAAAATCAAAATTTGGTGGTGGGGTTTAGTTTCTTCTTTTTGCACAATATTTTTGATGAGGTTACAGCGTTAAAACTTGATTAAATTTTGCATATGCATCCTTAACGATGAACTAATCCACCCTGCCAATCATGTACGACTGACTCCATCCCCTCATGAGCACCCATGGGCGTTCACTCTCCTTCATTAGCCCACAGCAGGAAGTCCAAACAATCCAAATAAACCTTTATACACGCTTCCCCACACGCATGAGTGCACAGACACAGTTACAGAGACTCGCCCAGCAGGAGTCCTCATACCTGTGTGTTGTATCCATGTGTAATGTATTATAATGAGTGGTGTATTCATATGTATTCTAATGTGTCTAATAATGATGCATAGGTCGCACATGCAGAGCTGCAGGACGCGGAGATTTCAAACTGTTTTACACTGATGAAAACACACACCACAGGAGCCAGTAATGATCCCATTATACAGAAACAGACCACATGTGTTCAGGGAGGTGTATTTAAAGGAGATATATGAAGCTTTATTCAGGTATTTAGTATTGAAGTATAATACCTGGATCATTATTTTACATTTTGTTCATTGTAAACCCACAGCACTGATCTTATTAGAATGTTATTTTATCATGAACAGAAGTAGAGTTGTGTTTTGTTTCATTCAAACGTTTGAGTAACATTTACAAGTTAAATTATCCAAATGATTCTAGTGAAGGTGAAGGAGACCTGCAATGTGCACTGGGGTGGTTTGCAGCCGAGTGTGAAGTGGCTCGGATGAAGATCAGCTCCTCCCAATCCGAGGCCATGGTTTTCGACTGGAAAAAGGTGGCGTGCCCTCTCCAGGTGGATGGAGAGTCCTTGCCTCAAGTGGAGGAGTTCAAGTATCTCGGGGTCTTGTTCACGTTCAAGTGAGGGGAGGAGGGAGCGTGAGATTGACAGGTGGAGAAGTGCAGAGTCGGTAGTGATGCAGTCACTGTATCGTACTGTTGTGGTGAAGCTGAGTCGAAAGGCAAAGATCTCTCGATTTCCGAGTCAGTCTACATTCCTACCCTGACCTATGGTCATGAGCTTTGGGTAATGACCGAAAGGACGAGATTGCGGATACAAGCGTTCGAAATTAGTCTCCTCTACAGGGTGGCTGGGCGCTCCCTTAGAGATTGGGAGATTAGAGATTTGAGAGGTGCCAGTTGAGGTGGCTCGGGCATCTGTTCTGATGCCTCCTGGACAGCTCACTCAGGAGGTGTTCCAGGCATGTCCAGGAGGCATCAGAACAGAAGGAGGCCCTGGAGAAGACCCAGGACACTCTGGAGGGACTATGTCTCTTGGCTGGCCTGGGAATGCCTCGAGGTCCCACTGGAGAAGCTGGAGGAAGTGTCCCTGCTTAGAATGCTGCCTCCGCGACCCAGCCCTGGATAAACAGAAGAAAATGGATGGATAGATGAATGATTCTAGTAAAGGTGTATGAAGTTTAAAAACACATTGGAGCACTTCCTGAGTGTTTTCTGTTTCAGAGAACTCAGCCTAAACATGCAGGGTTTGTGAATTAAACATGTGTGTGTGAAACAAAACACAACTCCAGGTATGTTTGTGATGAAGAAGCAACATTATAACATAAAAAAAAAGGGTAATATGGTTCCTTTAATAACAGAAATGTGTAAATCGATTTCCTCTTCAAAACTAAATTTTGCAATTCCGAGTAGCAGATTTCTATTTACTTTTTATTTTAAAACATTTCAAACATGCATGAATCACCAAAATAAAACTCTGAGTTGACCAGTGGTGAAGAAACATCATTAGAACAAGTTCAAAAGTAAATGGGCCAGATTTACTCATTTAAACTCTGAGTATTTCAAATGAGCCTGTGCTGTTTTGTGGCCATGTTGAACCTTATTTACTCTCAGAAACTGCACATATTACTGATGACGCTAGTGTTAATGAGTCTGCAGTGTGAACAGATGAGAAATGCCACAGCAATAAACCAGAACTTTACTCCTGTTTATAATCTCGCAGCACCACAGATGAATGGAATGACTAAACATATTTTTGTGAACTGCTGAGAGTGTTTATTTGCAAAGCTGACTTTTTAGAGGTTTATACCATGTTATGTATTGTTCCCTCATCAAAAACATGCCTGAAGTGGTCCAGGCATCTCCTGAACACTATTCTAGAGAGCTCTAGATTATCAACTCCAGGGCTGAAAGGATCAAAATGATCCTAATGAAGGTGTATGAAGTTTAAAAACACAGTGGAGCTCTTCCTGGATCACCGCATGACATCACAAGGTGGAACAAAGTGTTTTCTGTTTGAGAGAAGAGCCTAAATATGCAAGATTTGAGTCTTAAACTTGTGTGACTCAAGGCTGTGCAGTTAATCGAATTTTAATCTCAATTTCGATTTGTGTGTCAAACGATCTCCAAACTCATATAATCAAGTTGAAATGAGTAAAGCTTAACAAAGTTTATTTTTGGGATTTTTTAAAAATATAAATAAGTATATTTATTACATTTTTTTGAATATAGAGATTGTAGAACAGCTGGATATATAGTTTATTTTGGAGACATTTATGTTTTTCTATAACTTATTTAATAGAAAAACATGTATAAAATGTTCTAAAATAAACATAAAATAAAATAAATAATATATAAAATGAATAAAATAAAAAAGTATATTTCATTACCTCCGACAAGGAGGTTATGTTTTTGCCGGCGTTTGTCTGTTTGTTTGTTTGTTTGTTTGTTTGTTTGTCTGTTAGCAACATAACTCAAAACGTTATGGACCGATTTTGATGAAATTTTCAGGATTTGTTGGAAATGTGAAAAGAACTGATTTCATTTTGGGGGTGATCCGGAAGAAATCCTGGATTCTGGATCACTTTGAAATTTTAGTTAACATTGTAGTAAATGGGGCCAAAAATTTTGTTTCTCAATATCTCGGTTAATTATTGACCAAACCCCATGAAATTTGACTCAGGGATGGACAATGGGATCCTCTTTCATATTCCAAAGGCTGATCCGGATCTGATCCAGAAGACTGATTTTATCGCAATTTATATAAAAAATGGGGGGAGTCCTTGGCGGAGGTCTGCGCTCTCTGAGTGCTTTTCTAGTTCATTTTATGTCTTATACATTGCAAAACTGCTCTAAGGTTCATATTTGTACCCTATATTTATTTTCAATTTGATAGTTTTCCGTAAATTATCAATAATAAAGTGTTTTTTGAGAGAGAGAAATGCTGAGTAAATGAATGAAAAAAAATTGTTTGAATAATTGTGATAATGTTTTTTTTCCATAATCGAGCAGTCCTAGTGTGAATGAAATAAAACAAGACTCCAGGTATGTTTTTGATCATGACACAACTTTATAACATAGATCAGAAAATTGCATAATATAGGGTCTTAAATTGGGTAAAAAATAGCTAAAAATCTTCCTTAGTTCTGCTTTAAATGCAGCTTCAGTTTGTGGAGCCATTACCTACCTAAGGATATTGTTCAACATCGCCCTCTATCTGAAGTTAAGGCATTATCAAATCTTCAAAACACCATAAGTACATTATGGTGCAGATCGATCGACACAATGGAGGTACCATGTCCATTTAATCTCATTGCTTCCTCTGCGATACCAGGATGTGTGTATTAAGTGTGTATCAGGTTAAAGGAGACCTGAACAGCAGCTGTACAGACTCGGATTTAAGTCATTAGATTGAAGACTAATTCATTTGTGCTGTGGAGCTGTAAAGTGCTCTAATGGACAATAGACTCGGAGAAGATCCAGTTTCAAGATGGCCGACACCTGTTTGTGCTGATTTATCCAGTCCAATCTTCTACAAGTCTTTGCAAAGGCTTGAAAGTGGCAGAAGTTTTTCATTTTAAGCGGGTTTCAGTGGTCCAAAGTTATTCCTCGCTTTCCTTCTGCATTCTGAGCATGCTAATTATTCACTATTATGAGTTTATAAGAGCATTTTTGCACAATATCCGTTTTTATTTAGAAAATGTTTATCTCTACTTTTCCAAGTTCTTGCTGTCTTACACTTTCAAATGCAGCTGTGGCCCAAAACACTGGAATACAAGCTGGAATACAAGCCCATCCAAGGTGCTTGTGCCGAGGTCTTTACTGCTCCAGAATGAGTGATCGCGCTTGCAAATGGTAAATCAGTCAAAATTATTATAGCGCTTTTCCACCTTCAAGGCACCTTCAAAGCGCTTTACAACAAGGAACCACTCACCCATTCATTCACACACCAGTGTACACAAATTCTGGGGGCAAGGTGGGTTAAGTGTCTTGCCCAAGGACACAATGACATGATTCAGGGCGACAGTAGCTCTGTTGGTAGAGCGTGTGTACACTGTGATCCGAAGGTTGGCCGCAGTGGTACAGTGGGGATTTTTTAAGTGGGTGAACCAGGGCAACTAAACCAGAACTAAACCAGGACTAAACCAAGACTACACCAGGTCTAAACCAGGTCTAAATCAGGACTAATCTTGGACTTGAGAGACAGAACCCCAAGCCCACGGGGCAAAGTGTCCACAAAGCGAGATCGGCTGCGCTTAAAGTGTGGAGTTCTTCGACAGTCCTATGCAGGTGCAACTCGAGGCCCGTCCCGACACTCAGTTCTGGTTTAGTTTTAGTTTAGACCTGGTTTAGCTCTGTTTTAGTCCTGGTTTAGTCCTGTTTCAGTCCTGATTTAGTCTCCCTGGTTCAGTGCCTGTCCCCCTCGCAGGTTTCTATAGGACAGTACTGCAGATACCATAAACCTATGCAGGTTATTTTCACTATTGCCAATCGGTTTTGCCAAGCTTCGGTTTGACATTTAAGTTGTAGGCGATTTTATATTTGTTATTTTTTAATATCTCACATTGGAAGAAGTGGGCGAATGGCGTACCCCCGCGTACTACGCCCACTACACCCCTGGTGACAATAACCATCGTTGGTAGAGCGGTCAAATCCACTGACCCACAGGTTGGCGATGAGATTTCAGCTCCCACAGATGAATGCTGTCGTTGTGTCCTTGGGCAAGACGCTTAACCCACCTCGCCCCCAGTGTCTGTGTACACTGGTGTATGGATGTGTGTGTGAATGTGTGAGTGGTTCTTTGTTGTAAAGCGCTTTGAATGCCTTGAAGGTAGAAAAGTGCTATATAAAAACGTGACCATTTAACATTTACCATTCATCTTTGGGAGCTGGAATCGCACCGCCAACGTCTGTAACAATAAATATAAACAGTATTTTCTGGTTCTTTATAACCCAGTGCACTCAAATGCCTCAAATAGCCACATTTATGAAGCGTTAAATTTAAATCAATCAGTCGACTTGCTCCAATAAGAGTTGAAACAAATAAATATAAACACAAAGCTGAAAATCTTTGAGCGGTATACAAAACACTTTTCATTTGAAGCCACGGTCGCCCCGAGATGAACAACAGTGTCAAACTCCAGCTGTGGTTTCCCATCAGCCCCTCCCCCCTCCGCTCGGTGTGCTGGTAACAGGAGGCAGAGTCTTATTGAGGATTCAGAGCAGCTCCTCAGTCTGAGCTCACTGCCGCTGTGTGACTGTGGACAGACGGAGACGGAGACAGGACAGAGACAGGCAGTCACCTCTGGAGGGTGGGCCGTCCTCTGCTGTGGGGACTTCGGCTTATTGTCTCATGATAAAATGTTAGAATGGACAGGATTATGAAGAGATAGTCCGTGTTGATTGAAAAACAAAGACAGAGACACGGGGATGGTTTAGAGATCCAGTCTTTACTGTTCTGATACAAATATTTGCGACAGTGGCTCAGTGGTTTGAGCATTTGTCCATCGGTCGTTACATCCCAGCTTTGACAGGGACAGGGGAAGTAACAACAAAACAAGATAGAGAATGGTAAAATAAAGTAGCAATGCAAAATGGATCTAAAACCTGTACACAAACGTATACACAAAATAATCTACATTATGAAAACCAAAATAACAGTCACCTAAGCTGGTGAAAAACAAAAACAAGAGATTCCTAACACACACACCAACCCAGAGGCCAGAGGTTTGCTGAAGTAGTTCTATTCTTTTGCAAGACACTTCACCCACCTTGCCTAGTGTGAAAGGTGTGTGTGTGTGTGTGAGTGTTGGTTGTAGGGGCTGATGGCATAGATGGCCGCCTCTTCTGTCAATCTACCCCAGGGCAGCTGTGGCTATAGTGGTACTTTACACCATATAAGTGTAAGTGTAAGAATTTATTACAAATATTTCAAATGTTCATCCATTTTCTTCCACTAATCCAGTGCTGGGTCGCTGGGGCAGCAGTCTAAACCAGGACTCCCAGACTTCCCTCACCCCAGACACTTCCTCCAGCTCCTCCAGGGGAACCCCAAGGTGTTCCCAGGCCAGCAGAGAGACATAGTTCCTCCAGCATGTCTTGGGTCTTCCCCGGGGCCTCCTTCCGGTGAGACATGCATCCGGAACAGATGCCCGAGCCACCTCCCTCAGCTGGCTCTTCTTGACGTGGAGGAGCAGCGGCTCTACTCCGAGCTCCTCCCGTGTGACTGAGCTCCTCACCCTTTTTGCATGCATTTTAGCTGCTTGTATCTGCGATCTCTTCTTTTTGGTCTTTACCCAAAGCTCATGACCATAGGTGAGGGTAGGAACATAGATCGACTGGTAAATCAAAGTCAAATGCAGAGGATGAATTTGTAGAAAAGTCATTAGCAAACTCATTTCGAGCATAATTGACATGGCCACGTTTACATGATGTTTTTTAAAAATTCCGAATTAATTGTTCTGAATCCAAATTTACATAGAAATAATAATTCCAAATTGAGGTTTACATGGAAAACACGTTAAATTGTCTTTATTTAATTCCGCTCTACGTCGGGGGAGTCGTATACGTCGACCGGACGAAAACACACACTTCAGCTGCTACCGGCTTTTTTGTCACCTTGGTTTGTCGTAACACCATGAACACAAACACGATCCAAACTTTTTTTTGCAGTCGTACCTATGATAATTATGCAGCAGTTCGTGAATTCTATCATCACGCTTTAAGTTTGTGAGCTGAGGAGGAGAAGAGAAGAGTGTCGGAGAAGACAAACTGAGACAACAGCTGCTCAGCCCACTCCCCACATCCCGCTCACAAATCCAAAGAGCAGTGGAGGAAAGTCCGAAGCGATGACTGGTGGAGCTGGATCGTCCGGATCGTGTCAGAAAGGCGACCCAACGAGCATGCGCTGAACGACCGGAATAGTTTTTAAGACGAATAAATGTTTACATGATCCGGGAATAAATAAATTAGGAATAAACCACCTATTTACTTCAGAATATAAATTTAATTCCGAATAATCATTTCCATTAAGAATTAAGTGTTCACATTGTTTTTTAAAGCGCAATACATTTTTATTCAGAATTAAAGCTCTTATGTAAATGTGGCAATTGTTGCAGTAACAGACTTAATCATTTTAATTAAACCCTCAAGTATTTCTGTGCTGTACCACACTCAAGCTTTAATGACCAGTGTGTACCAGTACTTCTAACCTGGCCTCTTGTGTTTCTGTGTAGTTGTTGGTACTTGCTGGTGCTGTGTAGTGTGTAGTACATGTGTGGCGAGTGTGTGAAGGGCGTGGGGAGGTGACCAGTGTCCGTGTGATTTATAGTGGTCAGACTGTGGACACAGGCTGCATCTCTGTGGAGCCGAGGAGGACAAATAAGAGGCACAAAGGAACAAAACTAAACCGTGTAAACAAAGAAACAGATCCTACTGTTTAACACACAAACCTACATATCTTAGGCCAGTGCTTCTCATTTATTTTCTGTCATGCTCCCACTAGGAAGAAGAAAACATATCGCAGCTCCCCACTCCACAGAACCACTACCAAAAGTGAACAAATTGCTCGCTGGTTTACTAAAGTAGCATTCACAAAGTGGGATGATTGTTGCAATATTCTAGCCTGATTCATCAGCCGGTTTCACTTTGTGGAAACCATCTGACTTCGCAGCAGGATTAGGATTAGGATTCATTTTCTTGAAGGTAGGTGGGTACGTTTTTTATTTAACCAATCGCTGCTATTTGGGTGTGATGTATGTAATGCACTGCTGACAGGGCTAACTGGTATATTAAGCTTTTCCAAAATCTCGTAGAAGGGGAAGAATGGATGTTATGTCTTTCCTCTTGATAAAATTCACCAAACATTCTCTTTGTTTCGGCTTTAAATCCTCGATCTCGGGAATCGTTGCCAACACAGAATGTATGGCTTCGTCTACATCCATCTCAACGCATTGTTTACTGTTGTGCTGTACCACAAAAAGGGACTCAGACAGGCGCTTGAGTTTGACGTCATGGCTTCACAGCTCTTCACTGATTGGCCGGTGCGTGGTCTACAACTTCTGGGTTCTGGTGTACTCCGATTCCTGACTTAGGCTACGTCCACATGACAATGCTAATGGATTTTTTTCTTTGTGAGTTGAAAAAAATTTGCATCCACACACGAGCCGGATCAGCAAATATTCAAGTCCACACGGAACACTGAGTGAAAATGATGAAATACATATGCCACACCTGTATGTGGTGCTGTTAACAATGATAATAAGATTTAATAATGCAGATTGCACACAGTTTTTTTTTACTTTAAGCCAATTAATTTAGCCAATTTTAGAGGTATCCCAGAAATATTGCTGTTTTGTTTTGCAAAAGTTAAACACAAGTTACAGAAAGAATCCATATATACCACTGAGTCCTGTCCTTAAGCCCGACAGAAGTTGAATCACATCAGCGCACAATAGCGAGCTGTTTTTTTGAGAGCTTAGTTTATGCTAAATTAGCCATGCAGTTTTAAGTTTCATTTCTATAAATCTTGCCGTCTGTGGAGGCTAGTTCGAGGGCTGCAGGCTTCCCTGCATTGGGGGACCCTTGCGATGACGGGATTGTGACGTCATTGTTTTCCAACAGCTGCGGTTTGCTTGTCCACACAAAAACGCAACGCCAGCGTTCTCAGATTTCTCCACTCTGGAATTAAAATCACCTGTAAATGAATAAATATAAGGTAGAGTTGTTTAATGTCATACTGTGGAACATTCCAGGCAGAGCAATGGCATATCCATAGAAACAAGCAGGTGACAGACCCAACCAAAAAGTTACATAGTCCACCTTTAAGTAATATTAATCTGAAGTAACATTACTCTTACTTAAGTACAATTTTTGCCCACTCTACCACCTCTGAGCACAACCACATCAAAAGCAAAAAATGCAAAGATGTTTACTGTGCATCTGAAATGAGGTGTCTGATCTACAGTCTTCGGAGACGCAGAAACACGCAGGAGTCAGTTCACACAGCGAGCGAGGGTGTGATGGCGGTGTGTCTTGCTCAAGGGCACAGCAGAGGCTCTTTGATACAGATCAGAGATGGTCCCATGTGGAGTTTAGTACAATTCCCCGCAGAGTCTAGCCCACACCCCTCAGGAAAAACACAGAATATCTAAGTTCAGTTCGAAAACATCAGAAAGTATAGAGACACACAGCTCCTCTTTCAGTCATCAGGAACTGGGAGGAGAACTGATAGAAAAACAATACATTTTATTTTATTATATTATCATATCAAAACTGAGATGGAGGGCTGTTCCGAATTTTATAGTAGAATTTGACTTTTAAAGGGTCCATATTGCGCTTTTTTCTGATCCATGTTATAATTTTACACCCCCAAGCGTGCTTTGTGGTCCGAGGGCCAGCTCCAGCTCGTGGCGCCTAAAACGAGACTTAAAATCAGGGGGGACAGGGCCTTCTGTGTGGCCGGCCCCTCCACATCCGAACTGCCCTATAGTGGAGAGTTTTAAGTCTTGTCTTAAAACCCACTTTTATTCCCTGGCTTCTGTGTCTTTTACTTATGTTATTTATTTTATTTATTTACTGCTATTTTATGATTTCTATGTTTTTACTTCTATTTTGATTTGACTGGTTTTATAGT